AAAAGGGGCCTGGTGTGGGCCCCCCCGGGGGGTTTGGGGGGGGGGGGGGGGGGGGGGGGTGCAGATCAGATTTATTGAATTCTTTCCAATATCAGAACATCCTTTTGGAAGCTTTCACATCAGAATTGGACACAGTATTCCAGTAATCAACCTAATATATTCAGAGGTAAGACCTCTCCCTTACCCCTGCTTGATATTACCCTCTTTATACTTCTATGCTGCGTCTATACTGGAATGATTTTGTGCAAAAGCAATTGCTTTTGCACAAAATCATTCCAGTATAGACGCAGCATAGAAGTATAAAGAGGGTAATATCAAGCAGGGGTAAGGGAGAGGTCTTACCTCTGAATATATTAGGTTGATTACTGGAATACTGTGTCCAATTCTGATGTGAAAGCTTCCAAAAGGATGTTCTGATATTGGAAAGAATTCAATAAATCTGATCTGCACCCCCCCCCCCCCCGCCACCCCCACAAGCTCAGCTTGGGGACTACATAGAGACCTTTATTTGCCACACTTTTCCCCTCAGCACTAGCTTTGGGGAATTTCCGTTCCTTTTCCCTCCAAATCAGGGGGGAGGGTCACTATCAGGGGAGGATATTGGCTAGTGGCTCCCTTTGATTTATGAAGACACCTCACAGTGTTTTCCGCTTGTTATCCAAATAGAATCTCTGGCTATGTCTAGACTGCAGAGTTTTATTGCAAACCGCAACTTGTGTATCTTTTTCTGCTTTTTTTCCCAGAAGAGGCTTTTCCGAAATTTGGCCTGTCCACATGGGCCAAATTTCGGAAACAATTTCTCATTTGGAACATCCCTTATTCCGAGAGGAATACAGGGATGCCAAAAGAATGCGCCTGCTTTTTCAGAAAACTGTTCCAAAAAAGCGGACACATTCCCTGGATGCGGCAGAGCTTTTCCGGGATACCTCTGGTATCCCAGAAAAACTGCAGTCTAGACATAGCCTCAGCTTCCAATCCTGACTTTTAGTAAAAAGTGGAAGAGTGACATCATTGGAGGTTGTTATCTGTTCAGCTGCTATCTCATGCTAAAGGCTAAGAAAAAGGTTGGTATGTACTTTTTGGATGGGCTGGGGGGCCCTCTTAAGGTTGAAATGTTAAGTCTAAGCAGGGGAAAGGAAATAATTTTCAGATAGTGAGTAATTTTCATGCACGTTGCAAAAACAAAACACAAATCAATTCATCAACATTTGCTTGTTTCTCACTGGTCCCAGATGTCTTTTAAAGGCCTTCCATTGGGCCTATGTTCCTGTGTGATTAGTACTGCCAGAGAGAGGTCCAGCTGCAAGGACCGGAATCTTGTCTGTGTGCTGTTGGGTCCAGTGTCCAGGAACGCTGCCTCCGGGTACAGTATCAATCCCAGCTGTTTGCAGGTGATCCTTGCCCAGCATGAGTTCTTTCTGGAGAGATCAGTGGTGTCTGGCTAAGAATTTGTGTGACCAGATTTGACAGGTTCCTTACATCAGGGGCCTGCTACGGGCCCATGATAAGTTGTGGAGGTGGGAAGAGGTTTCCTTTCATATAGACTGGAATCTTCTGTGGAAGGAACATTTGGCCTCCTAGTATTTCAGGTTTGTTGCCAGGGCTCAGCCAAGGCTGCTGGCCTCCTCCAGACCCAAGATCTTCTGTGCCTTTCCCTCTCACATCTGTTTGTCCCAGATTGGGGGCCGGTTGTGGCTAGATCCAGGTTTTCCATGACAGGCAGAGCGAAGACATGGCTTGCTCCTGAGGAGCTGCAGATGGCCCAGAGCAACAGGCTTGGTTTGCGGTGTTGTGGACTGGTGCTAAGCAGCTGTGGGGACTCTCCCAGAGAAAGGAACTAGATCTCAGCACAGTGAAATGGCTTCCTGTTTCCTGGGTAACCCTGAGATTAGCTCCACAGCCCACACATCACAGGGATTCCCTCAGCGGTTACTGCTGTCTTTGATTAAGCAAGACCAGAAAAAACAAGCAGCAAAGGGGGCCCAAAAGCTGCTGTTTTATGCAGCCCATTCAAGAAGAGACCCCAGCAAGATACATTTCCACAGAGAGGAGAGGAGCCTGTGGTATCCCAGCGTCCATCAGTGCAGGTGTGAGCCAGAGGAGAAGACTGAATGCCCTTGTACAGTCAATAGCTTCAGTGAAAGGCGGGAAGGACTCTGCTGAGTAAGGCTGGCTCTGGAGGTGACCTCAGATCTCTGTGCCACAGCTAGAGTGGCAGAGGCCCATTACTGCCTCCACTGCAGGATATGCCTCTCCCTAAATAAGTCCCTTCTGCAGGCACTTTGGCTTGTGGAAGATAAAGCAGCCAAGCAGGAGCACAGCCACCAGCACCAGAGAGCAAAACACCATGAGCCCCACATAACTGGCATGGGAGAGGGGGCGTGTCGGGGGCTTCTCTGCAGGGATCATGTTTGTCAGGTTCAGCATGTAGCCCAGAGTCCAGCCTGCATCACTGCTGCCAATCTGGAAAAGGAGGACTCAGATTACCTACCAGGACTAAGGAACATACAGGCAGCGGGTTGGTACAGACAAGAGGGGCTGAGACGGGAAGGTGTCTTCTTGGGGTAGTGGTATGGGGCAAGGTAGGGTGTGTGAGAGATGGGGAGCTGGGGAGGCAGGGTGGTGGTGTCACAAGTGTTACAGCCCCACAGAGAGGGGGTGGTAGATAGGGTGGGGATGTCATACCCAGAAACACTCTGCACATAGAAGTTACCTTCCCGAGGAACTGGATGTTTTGCCATTTCTCTGCAGTAAATCCATAGCCATTCTCCAGCAGGGAGAGGATGTAGGCCCCAGAGAAACAATATTCACTCAGGTACTTCTCTTTTATATTAGGAAATTCTGCCTTTACCTGTATCAGGACAAAGACGTCACTTGTCACTGCGCCATATGGTTACCACCTGCCTGGCTTGCACCACAGACCACTCGTCAGGTGCTAGCAGCATCTGTCCACTCCATTGTCAGCCCCACGTACTCCAGAAGTTTCCCCCATCCATTCAGTGAGAGGGGAGAAGGCTTTCTGTGTATGTGAGCCCTCTTCACATCCTCTCACCAGTGGAGTGGTCACAGGCAGCAAAGGGCATGCAGGACCACAGTGCAGGAGAAGGGACGTGTCCTGTAAATCGGCCCAGGGAAGATTCTACACAATGGCAAAACTAGAGGTTCCCTCAAAACTGCATGTGTGAGGGGGTAGTACACCTGCTGCCTGGCTCCCACACACAGCCACTATGACCAGGGCTTCCCCCTGACTCGGGGGGGGTAGTGCAGAGCAACAGCCTCTGGATGCTGTGGCCACTCGCTCTCTTACCTCATTCCAAGGCCTGGAGCAGAATCTTTGCACGGTGCTTGTCACTCTGTTCAGAGGGACTGGGCTCTTCTCTGTTGTCAGGTTTAAAAAGTTCATCACAAAGTAGAAAGCAGAAAATGCCTGGAAGGGGAGAGAATTTTAACCTGCTTAGTTTTAATGTGGAAAGCAGAGCCCAAATCCACGCAATGAAACACCAGAGCATGATTACCAATGTGAATCCAAAGTGTTGTAGAAACGGAAATCCAAGCATTTCAGCTTGCCTAGGGCTCCATAAAAATGCCCATGACAGCACATCTGGATGCCTGAGGAGTGGCTTTTGCAGCTAACTGGGTCAGAATTATAGGCACGAAGTAGTGACACTTTCATGGGGGTAAAGCAAAGGAAAGCGATTCAAATGTTACTGTCTCCTATTATAGGAGAGGTTGCTAGCACTGTCTATTGTCATATTTGCATTACTTTCCCTTATATGAGCCTCTTTCCAATTGTCTATAACTTCAGCAAACCTAAAAGTTCCCATGCTGGGTGTCCGCCCAAGCTCCTATGTTGGTGGAAGGGCGTGCTTGTTTTTTTAGATTTTAGCCAAAATGTTTCAACTGTTTCTCAGAAGGAGTTTTAGGAAAAATAAAGTGTCACTCGAATGTTCAAGAAGTCTAGTAACTGTTTCCTTGGAAGTAATTGTATCCCCCTGCCAGACCTATGGAGGGAAAAGCACAGTTTATGACAAGGATCCTGGGGAGCTGGGATTAGAGAGGGGAAAGAGAGGAACTGGGAACATGAGCTGGGGAGAAACTGGGCCTGGGAATGAAGGGAGGGGCGGAGACAGAGTGACTGTTTGGGCAGGGAACTGGTGGTGAGAATTGTGTGGGAGGGTGTGGAGGCCAGGACTGGCTGGGCAAGTCACCCAGACTGGCAGACTGTGTGGGGGGGGGGGGGAGATCAATCGGAGGAGAAGCTGAGAGGCAGGGCCTGGGACTGGCTAGGCAAAGAGACAGGGACTCCGGAGAGCCAGGACAGTGGGATGGACTGGATGTTCCGGAGACCAGGAACAGGGTAAGGAGCTGGGGCCAGTAGGAAAGAAGGGGTCTTTGGCCCATGCACAAGTCAGCTCAGACTGGCAAGTGACCATGGCAGCTAAGAGTGAATGGGCCCTGGCAATGGCCCAGGCTCATCTCCTGTCGCCAGGTCTTGGGGCATTATTTTGCTGTGTGGATCATCTCAGAGCTCACTATTCCACAAGTACTAGTGCCACTAAGGACATGCAACCTCTGGGCACTTTCCCTCCCCAGAATGCACTAACACAAAACGCAGGCCGTGTGCATGGTGGGGACACACACGTTTGTGTGGCATATGGCTGTTTGCCTTATGGTTGGGATGTACAAAAATGTACTGAGAGAACACAACAAACCAGATTTGTTATAACTAGGCCAGGTGAGTCCTGTGGTGGCTTTTACTGGCTCTGTTCACACTAGAAGTGCAACAGTGTTTTTGTAATTACAGTAACAAACAGCTCCCCGCCCACCCAGAACTGCCTCCCAGTCTTCCCTCCAGCTCCCAGGGAACACACCCAAACCAGACCCTTTGTGTCTGCACTGGGTTAGAGCATGCCAATAGGCATTTGGACTCACCCCAAACTTCCCTTGCAACGGAGGCAGGAAAATCCCATTGAAGGAGCAGCTGGAGTAAGGGCAATGGCTAGTGTTGAAGATCTTCTGGATGGCCTTTCGGCACACTTGGTAATCCCCATTCCCCTGGAGGTGAAGCCGTCTGAATGGAAGCTGCTGCTCACCATTAGCTGTACAGGGGCTTGTGTAGAGGTCACTTGTATTCATAACCCTGAAATACCCTGGGTGAAAGCACGGATCCAGAAGGCTGCCATTCTGTGTGCTCTGCAGGGAAAACAACCCAGCCATGGGCATTCAGTTCCAGAGATGGGGGCATGGAAAAAGCAAGAGGATGTGCTGACCTGCGGAAGCTACTCTGGATCTGAGGACAGACAGATATGCCAGCCTTTTCCTACCAAGCACAAACTCTTCCTGTTTTCTGGGTCGGACGCCACTGTCTCTTCCAGAGCACATGCAGAAAAGTGGTTTTCACCCACAAGTGGGATCTGAGATAAGTTGGGCCTGATTTGCAAAGGTGCTGAGCACCTCCAGCGCCTGTTGCCTTCGGTCAGAGGTGTGAGTGCTCAGCACCCCCAAAACCAGACCCGCTATTTCCACCTTGGGTACCCAAGAACTGAGGCACCCCAAACTGGAACTTTATTCCTGGCTGCAAGTCAGGGAGAATGAATCTCCCCCACTGAAATTCACGGCTGTGAGGCTCAGCTTCTTGCCAGGCTGGGCTGTGCCCCAGTGGCATGTGCAAAACGTAACAAACACATGTGGGTGGGTCCCAAACCTCTCACCCCCCCAGATATCAGCTCTGGAGTGATTCCACTTGCCTGCAGGTCACCAGCCAGCTTCAGGCGCAGAGCCTGGTCCTTCCCGTAGCACAGGAAGCTGTGCGTGTACACGTTGTAGCTCTTTCCATAGAGACGGAAGTGCAGTGAGTTCTCTTGAGATTCAATAGGCTCGTGGTCTGGTACAAAGGTGATCTGGGTGGAGGCTCCACCGAGGTCCAGGGCCCCTGATGTCCCACTGCTGGATTGCAGGTGAGGCAGAAAGTCCAGCCAGCCAGTCTTTAAGCAGAACAGGGACAATGAGAGAAGGCAACCAGCCAAGGGCTGAGAGAAACAGGAATGTGGGGAACGGAAGAGGAGGGAGAAGGCAGAAGGAAAACATGAGGACCTGCAGCAGGGCACAGGGTGAAGGGATGGGGGTAGAGGGGCAAAACAAGGGTTCAGAAGGGACAGGATATGATGCACAGCAGGTGTCCATGAGAGGGTTAATAACATACAATCTGCAACTGAACAATCTATGAGAGAGAGAGTAAAAAAATATGACAAATCGCTCTACTGGTATGTATTCCACAGACTCCCAAGCACTTAACCAACTAGACAGAGGACTCATTCTGCCAGCCACTGAAATGTTCTCACCTCTGGGGTGGAACAGAGTAACTATTTAAAAGAACACAGCAATGATTTAGGACAGGAAATTAAGGAGGATACTTCGTCTAGCTGAAACAGCAGAGGAATTCTAGAGCAATGTTTCTCAACCAGTGGTACGAGTACCCTTATGGGTATCGAGGGACGTCTGAGTTGGTACATCAACACAACTGAAATTTGGAGAAAACTGAATTTTTGGTTTTAGTTTCATAGTGTTTTATTATTTTTGTACTTTTTATACCCCAAAATTTCATCACCCGCCCGGCTACCATTAAGTTGTTGAAACAAATGTGTTGCAACAGTAGAAAAAAAAATTGTGTACTGGGGGTACTTATAATATTTTTTTGAAAAAGGGGTACTTTATAAAAAAAGGTTGAGAAACACTGATCTAGAGTTTTGTTTCAATGCACTACCAGTGCTGTGGAGTCCATCATGACACCAACTCGCATGAGAACTGACATATTGAAAGCTGCGTTGCTGAAGAATTGTGTGTGGTCACTTTTTGATCCCCAATAAAACGAGGGGTAAAAGAAGCCAGTGCTTGCAGAAGCCTCCTTGGCAAGTATGGTTTACAAGGTTCCCACCCGCGGGCATTTCTGGAGTAATGCACCTCCCCCATCTATTGGATAGGTTACCTGCTTGAAGTTGCCCAACAGGTAATTAATGGTGATCCAGCCATAGGCGCCTTCTTCCTGACCACTGATGACTCTGGCACCCTGAAAGTCGAAGGGGGATGAGCGCAGCATGTTCTCTACTGCAGAGAGGACTCTGTCAGCTACACTTCTGTTCTGCAAGCTGGATGTATGGAGGAAAGGACTGAGTGACGCCAGGCTACAAGCTCTCTCCAGCCTGTTGGTTTCACGCCCCCCTCCCCAACACACCTGTGATAGTTCTGTCAAGACAGAAGTTCCATCTGGATCTCACACACTAAGGCTGTGTCTAGACTGGCAAGTTTTTCCACAAAATCATCTGCTTTTATGGAAAAACTGTCCAGCTGCCTACACTGGTTGCCTGAATTTCGCAAAAGCACTGACGATCTCATGTAAGATTGTCAGTGCTTTTGCGGAAATACTGTGCTGCCCCCGTTCGGGCAAAAGTCTTTTTCCGAAAAACGTTTGCGCAAAAGGACCAGTGTAAACAGCAGAGATTTGTTTTCCGCAAAAAAGCCCCGACCGCGAAAATGGCCATCAGGGCTTTTTTGCAGAAAAGCGCGTCTAGATTGGCCACGGACGCTTTTCCGCAAAAAGTGCTTTTCCGGAAAAGCATCCTGCCAGTCTAGATGCACTTTTCCGAAAATGCTTTTAACGGAAAACTTTTCCGTTAAAAGCATTTCCGGAAAATCATGCCAGTGTAGACGTAGCCTAGATGTTTTCAGTGACATCACTCCTTACTGTCTTACCCTCCCAGCTGTTGGCTGATGTTTCTGATGCTCACTCCAACAACAGTCCCCACAGAGTTTGAGAACACCCGTTAGAGGGTGTCACACCCCAGGATTTCGCTCGGAAGACACGATATCACTGCTACAAAAGAACAGCGTGCTATAGTTTGCCCTTGTAGTTTCTGTAAGCAATACTCATCTGGTGGTAACCTAGCCAGCCACGAATAGGGATGAGGATATGCCTCTGTTTTTCCAGGATACAGGAGATGTCTGGGCAGCCAACCCATGGGTCAGTTTGGGATAATACTGCCTCTGAGCGTCCCTGATATGGGGCCATTACAGTGTACAGGCACAGCATGGGGAAAGGAAGTCAGGCAGGGACAGGAGTCAGAGAAGGGAGGTGAAAGGAAGAGACAAGAAGAGAGTTAAAGAGGGAGAAGCCTTGGTCAGGAGAAGAGGAGCAGATGTGAGAGGCAGTGATAGCAGAGCTGATAAAAGAATTCTGGATGTCTCTTGGCCTCAGACATAGGAACACTCATTCCCAATGATTCCCTGGTCAGGTCCTATTCTAAATAGAGGGTGGACTCACGCATGGCTGAACCATTCCCATGGATGGGAAGAAGAGGGACCAAACAGGACAAAAGCTGTATACAGTGGGACCAGCATAATCCCATGTAAGTTGTAGCAGCGCGTCGGGGATCCCCCTGATCCTGCAACAGCAAGATGAGACGCCACCAGCCAGTAGAATAGAGGGGTTATTGCTTCGCCAGGACACAGCACAGCACAAACGTGACGTGGTTACAGGAGTGAGGGCCAGGCAGCCTCAGACCACTTGGGGTGGGGTCCACCGCCCCCTCAGCCCCTTGTACTCAGCTTAGTCTCGTCTCTCCATGTTTTTCCAGACAAGAATGACTCTTCCCTAAACGGCAAGGAGTCCTGTGGCAGGACTCCCATGTCTGACGAAGTGGGTCTTTGCCCACGAAAGCTTATGCTCCAACACTTCAGTTAGTCTATAAAGTGCCACGGGACTCCTCGCCGCTTTTGCAGATTCGGACTAACACGGCTACCCCTCTGGTACTCTTCCCCAAACCACACCCTTCCTTTGTTCCAACTCCTTCCCTCTCCGGTGAGAACCAGTTGGGCCATGGTCTACACATAAGGGCCCTCAGGGTGACCCCCAGCTGGGCAGTGCTTGCAGACAGAGGCCAGTAGGAGTCATCCACAGCCCACATCCCAAGCATAGTGCCCAGCAAGTGGTCTGTACCCTCACTACATCACTCAAGTCTATTGAGAAGCACAAGCTATGAAATCAGCTCTTGGTATTTGCTGTCCCTTAGGTTATGTCTACACTGGAAACGTAGGTCACCTGCTATGAAATTTACAAGACAGCTTACAACTGAGGTAAAGTCTCTATGTCGACATAGATATTGCATTCCCTAACCACACTAATGTAAGCCTTATGTGACTCATGGGGGTGGAGGGATTGTCGAGGATCATCAGATATCAAGAAAGGCAACATTCAAAAAACAGTAGGAGAGCACTTAGGTATCTCAGGACATTCAGTAACAAATTTGAAAATTGCCTTACTTCAGCCAAAAAAACCTTCAAAAATGGACTTCAGTGTGAAACTGAAGAGCTGGAATGCTCATGCAAACTAGATGATGTTCTAGCTGGAATTCATCTGCTAGCTCAGTAGCAAAAAGGTCTAGAAAACATGATCTCTGAGGGAAGACTGAAAGAACTGGGCTTCTTTAGTTTAGAAAAGAGAAGACTGAGGGGGACAGGATAGCAGTTTTCAAGTATCTAAAAGGGTGTTACAAGGAGGAGGGAGAAAAATTGTTCTCCTTGGCCTCTGATGATAGGACAAGAAGCAATGGCCTTGCATTGCAGTAAGTGAGGTTTAGGCTGGACATTAGAAAAAACTTCCTAACTATGAGGATGGTGAAACACCAGAATAAAATACCTAGGGAGGTTGTGGAATCTCTATCACTGGAAATATTTAAGTGCAGATTACATAGACATCTATCAGGGATGATCTAGACAGTGCTTCGTCTTGTCATGAGGGCAGGGAACTGGACTTGCTGACCTCTTGAGGTCCCTTCCAGTTCTAGTGTTCTATGACTCTAAGAGACTATGAAAAAGTAATTTTCTCTCTTTCAGTATTCACATCTTTTCATCAAATGTTGGGAATGAGCCACATCCACCCTGACTGAATTGACTTCATTAGCATTAGTCCTCCACATAATGATGTAAGCAGGGGCTGAACTACTGCTTGTTATCAGCCAGATAAAAGGAGAGAGCTGCCCTGGGCGTGGGTATGGTCACTCCAATGCTATGTCTACACTTGCGGCTTCTTGCACAAGAATCTGCAGAGCGTCTATACTGCCCGTCCGCTCTTGCACAAGGAAATTTACAGTACGGTGTGGTAAGAGAGGGCTTCTTGTGCAAGAGCTATGCTCTTTTAACAGGTGTAAGCCCTCTTATGCAACAGCTCTTGAAGAAGGAGGCAGTGTGGATTTCTTGCGCAAAAAAGCCCTATGGCTAAACTGGTCATTGGAGCTTTCTTGCGCAAGAGAGCATCCACACTGCCATGGGAGCTCTTGCGCAAAAGCACAGCGCACACATGGCAGTGTGGACGTTTTCTTGCGCAAGAAGCCGCGAGTGTAGACATAGCCCAATTGTTTAGCTCTGCAAGATAATTAACTGTTAACTGTTGATATGTAAATACAGCTCATGCCAGGAGGGGGAAGGAATCTGAGGTGTGGCTATGTAAATCCAATTCAGCCAGGGCTGATGGAAGATCGATGCTGGAATGGAATGTGGTGTACTGTAACTAATTTGGGGCTGTTGTGGGGGTCACAAACCATGCTATCCCTAAATGTGTGATCTGTAAAACATGACACCAGTGCTTGCAGGAGAGACACCATCATTGTAAGAGGTCTCCGAGGAACAAGCCTCCCCCCTTCCAGAGTTGAGCTTGTCGTCTGGGCTATGAACTCTGTTTGTGGTATTTTCCCAAGTTAATGCTGTATGACTTCTCTCTCTGTTTCATTAAATGTTTCTTTCCTACACTCAGACTCTGTGCTTGCGAGTGGGGAAGCATTGCCTCTCAGAGGTGCCCAGGGGTGTGTGAATTTCCCAGGTTACTGGGTGGGGGCTTAAGCCGGTTCTGTGTGAGATGGACCCCTAGATATTGAACCCGGCCCTGGTTGCTACTGGGCCTACCCGGCAGAAGGGTTACATAATGTAACACTCCCATCTTTGCATGTGTATATATACCTTCCAAACTGAAGTTTCCATTTCATGCATCTGAAGAAGTGGGTTCCAGGCCATAAAAGCTTATATCCCAAATCAATTTGTTCATCTTTAAAGAGCCACAGGAATCCTCATTCTTTCTGCTGAAACAGACTAACATGTCTACCACTCTGAAACTTATTTTTGAAAAGTCATGAAAGACAGGAAAGATTCCAGAAGACTGAAAAAGGGGCAAATATAGTGCCCATCTGTGTGTGTGTGTGTATATATATATAAGGACAACCCAGTCAGCTTAACTTCAGTACCAAGAAAGATGATAAGTAACAGTCAGCATGTATTTGTCAGGATCAAAATGTGTCAAACAAACCTGATAGCTCGGTTTGACAGAATAACAAGCATTGTGCAGGAGAGAGAATCGGTAAGTGTGGAATATCTAAACTTTAGTAAGGCTTTTGATAGTTTCACATGACCTTCTTATAGATAAACTAGGGAGACACAGCCTAGATGGTGCTATTTCAAAGTGGGTTCATAACTGGTAGGGTAACTATTCCCAGAGGGTATGTCTACACTATAGTGTTATTTTGAAATAGCTTATTTCAAAATAGTTATTTCGAATTTGGCATTATTCCTTGTGGAATAAGGTTTACCAAATTCTAAATAAGCGCTCCACTATTTCGAATTTATTTCGAAATAGCAGTTTGGCTGTGTAGACACTAGGAAAGTTATTTCAAAATAACTTTGCTGTGTAGACATGCCCAGAGAGTAGTTATCAATGGTTCACAGGTATGCTGGAAGTGCATTACGAGTGGGGTTCTGCAGGGGTCAGTTTCAGATACAGTTTGGTCCAATATTTTCATTAATGACTTAGATACTGGCATGGAGAGTACACTTGTAAAGTTTGCAGATGATACCATACTAGGAGGGGCTGCAAGTGCTTTGACAGACAGGACTGTAATTCAAAATGATCTGGGCAAACTGGAGAAATGATCTGAGGACAATAGGATGACATTCCTTTTCAGAAGTGCCTATGACAGTTTGGTGCAGAAATCTTAATTACTTCCAATGCACCTAACTCACTTAGGAAGTTTTGGAAATTCTATCATTAATGTTTATCTCCTATTCCACCTTAAAAAAAAAAAAAAAAAGCATGAACATGATTCTAGGATATATTAACAGGAGTGTTGCAAGTAAGATGCAAAAAGTCATTCTTCTGCTCTACTCCACATTGATTATGCCTCAGTTGGAGTATTGTGTCCTGGTCTGGGCACCATATTTCAGGAAAGATGTGGAGAAATTGAAGAAGGTCCAGAGAAGAGTAACAAGAATGATTAAAGGTCTAGAGAACATGACCTATAAGGGAAGATTGAAAGAATTCAGTTTGTTTAGTCTAGAAAAGAGGAGACTGAGAGTGGACATAATAGGGTATTACAAGGAGGAGGGAGAAAAATTGTTCTCTTTGGCCTCTGAGGATAGAATGAGAAGCAATAGGCTTAAATTGCAGCGAGGGAGGTTTAGGTTGGACACTAAGAAAAACTTCCTAACTCTCAGGGTGCTTAAGCACTGGAATAAACTGCCTAGGGAGGTTGTAGAATCTCCATCAGTGAAGGTATTTACGTGCAGGTTGGACTAACACCTGTTGGGGATGATCTAGATCCGTGGTGTCCAACATGCTAGCCACTAGCCACAAGTGGCTATTTGGGGATTAGGGAGCAGAGGGAAACCATCCCGTAGTTGGGACCCTCCTCCCAGAGGATGTTGTGGTATCCTCTCGCACTGAGGATACCTCTGAGGGGCAGGGAATGCCAGTTAGGAAGAGGCAGGTGTTAGTACTGGGTGATTCGATCGTTAGAAACATAGATAGTTGGGTTTGTGATGACCGGGAGAACCTATTCCA